GGAGCATCTGATTTAGCAATGGAGAAGAGTAGAGATGTGGAGAAGAAGCCTCAGTGTAGATATCGATCTTTTATCCCATCAAAGTCCTACCCGAGAGAGGAGAAATGAGCCTTATGCAGCTCTGGAAGCGATGATGTTTTTTAGAGGGAAATATGTGTTGTGACAAAGGGGTTTGCAAAATTAAGCCCCAGTTTTGTGGAGAAAGACAGTGATCCTGATTGCACAAGCACATTGTCTTCTTCGTCGTCTATATTGCCAGCGAAGCGAAGGAACTGAAATTGGGCAGAAGTTGCACGAGATATCTTTTTTTTCATTGTTCCCGGGGATTTTTTTGGGTAATCCGCTCCCATGCTGCAAACAGTCAAATCTGAACTAAACCTTGTTGCTCTTCTTGACACCCCAGTTGTCAAGCATGAGATGAAGCCAATTGCTCACCGTAGTCATAGTGCTTGTGTGAGAGTCTCACTGTTTCTTCTTCCACTAGTTGAAATGATCCTCTGTCTTGCCTTTTGGAAATTTGATAACTAATTACAGAAATCTGGTAGATGTACTACAAGAAATCTGGTAGATGTACTATAAGCATGTGTAATCAAATTTGTCATGCACCACAGATTAACTCTTTGTATGATCATTGTATAACTGTCAGCTGCGTGAGCTCATTGCTTGCTTGTTTTGTCATCGTATGGCTCCAGGGATAAATTGGTTCTCTAGTTTGCTTTCCTTTCAAAATTATAATGAATTAATCATCAGTTGTCTTTATAAAATCCTTCCAACTCTTTCTGTTTTGGAAAGCTTCTTTAGTTCATACGGCTACGTGTTACGGTTCAGTTGACAATTCAAGTCGCAAAACAAGAAATAGTGATGATCATCTAGCTAAGAAACTGATTGAAACTTCCAGTAGGATCTCCGTGCCAGCGAAGAACTGTGAGCATTCCTTAGATTCAGCGATGACGTTTAATTCGGCTGATGATAACAACCGGTCAGAAAGAAAGATACCGTGGAAGTCTCTGTCCCCACTTGGCAAGGTATTGTTTGATTCATTTAATTTAACGAGGACTGTCGAACCGTTGATTGATAGCTTGCTAATCGAGCTAGAACTGTCATATATGATATGCAGGAAGTTTTAAGACATAGACATGTTGCGGTGCTTATTGCAGTTGAGGCTTTGGAAGAGGCTTCTGCTGCTGAGAGATTGATCAAACGCCTAAGGTACCGTGCTAACATATGCTTATGCAGATTTCTGCTTCACACTTATTACATACTCGCAATTTGGAATGGGGAGGACCATAAAAAACAAAGAATCGCTTCGAAGTAGAGGATCTGTCTGTTTTTCCTAATGATCGATGGATGCAAAAAATATGAAATTGTTACTGATTTGGTATCTAATGTGTTTCACTTATTTTGCATTTTGTTGTTACATTTTTCAACAGATACTCAGAACTCCAATCATTGAAGAGGGAGGAACATCAGTTATTACCAGTAAACAAATTGTTGGATCTTGAAGATGACTTGTCTCGAGTGTGATTGATAGTTCAGTCCTTGACCAACATTAGTCTAGTAATGGCTAACGAATGGCTAACGATACAAATTCATGCAACCCCATCTCCATCAGGGAAGCACTAGAACTTGCCTTCAACCGAAAGAAAAATGCAACTTCATGGATAAAAGTAGCTTTGGCAGCTGATCTCACCCCGTCTTTTGCTCCTGGTATGGAAAGTTCAGGGAGGCTACAAACCATTCTCATAAACCAAGTAAAACTCAAGGTGGTAGGAAACCTAAAGGCAAATGTATAGTGAAGATCAAGCATAAGAATGAAGCTGGTTTCGGGTTCGCCATAGAGAAGGAAAACTTTTCACAAGGTTGGGTGAAGGGAAGTGGCTTTATCTGCAGCTGCAAACCTGGAAAAGTCATTGCATGGTGAATGCAGCAGATGATTTTGGCCAACTTTGAGTACTACTTGGATGATGTGCTTATGAGAAAAAGCACTTCCCTGGAATCAGATAGCCATGTGGCTGAGATGATGTGCTAGATTAAGAAAGTTAGTGATTGGTTGGATAACAAAGATTATTTTGATCAATTGGAAGCTTATGGGAGGATTAGAAATAAGATTTATGAGGTGCTTTTGAAGCATGTGGGAAGGACTGCCATGGTTTTGGAACACATGAACGTAGTTGTTGGTGATCGCCAACTATGAACTATATAAAGCGGTTGACTAAATTTTTAAAAAAAAAGTAGATCTGAATGTAGGGTAGTTGACTAGAGCGTTAGCGTTGTCCTTCTCCTTCTACCTTTAAGTTTGAATGTCCTTCCCCCTTTAGTTTAGATTCTAGAATTAACACACAGAAAGTGTAATAATTTTCTTGAAATACCATGTTGTTTTGTATGTGTCAATACTGTGGTTCACTGCACAAAGTTAAGATATATATTGGTTTGAACATATGTTTATAGTATAAATCTAAAAAGAAAATTTTATTTTTCAGTGTTGAGAGTTTAGATGTGATGGATGATGTATGTAGAATGGGAGAAAAATTGGTAGTGTTAGAATAATGTCAAGTAATATTACTGATTCACGAGTTACAATATAGGTACATGCTGAGTTTATGCTTTAAGGTATAATATCCATAACCAATTCATGTATCATTACAAAAATGAATTGATTATATTAGGTAACAATTTTCTAGTACCACACAATATTGTTTGTAGAATTAAGGAACTTGTATATTATTTATTATGGGTATTTTTCATTGTACTTCAAAGTATGAGATACTCTGGATGTTTTAACTGTTAAATCTTTGTTTAAAAATACAAAAGTTAAGATATTATGGTTACAACATCTGGAGTATTCCTTCAAAACACCCTAAATTTTTGTTTATCATGATTGTGTTAACATAGGATCCTTTTCTGACCTATAAAATAGTACAGGCCAAGGGAAAAAAGGGAGACAAAGGCCCAAAGGAAGAAAAGCCCAAAGTAAGGAAAACCAAGGCCTAACAGAATTAGAAGGACGATCCCGAGCGTCAACATTCTGGATTGCCTGCCAGCAATGAAGCCGAGCACCTCCTCATTAAGTACTTTCCGACCACTAATGACAAGTTGACATACTAACAACTTTATAGTATGAAGTCCTAGGGGCATTGCCTACTTGGGCACCAACCGCTAGGCCACGTGGTGGCCATCAACGAGAACATAAGCCTACAAAGGGACATAAAGGATGACAGATCAAGTGCTCGAGTATGAGTTCCCTTAAATCCCAGGGACGAGCAAGGCACTCGATACGTGTTGGTCCATGAAAACATGTAAGTGGATCTGAGCAAGTGTCACTTCACCACCACTTATCGACTAAATAACGAGGGGCAGCAAGCAGGTCATGTCAACATAGTTCATTAAATACGAAGGCGGTGGGAAACTTGAGTCTATAGACTTAAGGCTCACTAAGGGCCTGTATCAGGAGGATGAGTACCCCTTACAAGGAGCCGGATAAAAAGAGAGAGAAGGGATATTAGATTATACCGAACACTATTTGTAACCTTTCACTCAACAACTCAATAGACGTAGTCCAGTTTTAAGGAGTGAACCACTTAATGCTTGCTGTCAAAGTTTCCATTATTACTACCCCAAGTCCACTAAAGGTTGACAGGACCATACTGGATTCTGAATGCAGTTGCAAGTATTTATTTCCCAAACCAGCACTCTGCTCTGCTAGCTACTATGGGAGGCCATAAGTATCTGTATGTCATCTTTTTTTGATAACGTTGAAACCTGAGATGGGAGCACCGTAAGACAGAACAGGAGTAAACAACTGCAATTCATTCATAAATTCCACCATTGAACTGTCTTTAATTACACTCTTAATACTTAATAGTAATATCCCACTTGCTTTGTGGATTGACATATTTTATGTGGAAAGGGACCATGGAATAGATTATTAACTTTTTATTTTTAGTGCTTAATATATAAAATGATTCGCATCCATAACACGTGATCATGAAATTGGAAATTATAAAATTGTATTTGGAATCTGGATATGCAATCTATTAATAAATAGAGTGACGTGTTAAGACCCACGTGAGTTGATATTGATTGTTAATGCACGTAGAATTAAATGTTAAAATGTATGCAGTTTAATATTTCAGTAGATAGAACATTGGGTTCGAAATTCTCCATCTTCTAAATTATTAGAAAAATTTCGAACTCCCTCCCTCCCTTAAATATTAATTAATTTAATGATATTAAAATGCATCAACAACAATATTCAACTTTGACGTAGGTACGTAATTGACCCTAACAATGATCTCGGTGTTGATGAATTGTGAACCTATAATGCAACACACACTTGCGCGACTAACCCTATCATTGCTTCGAAATACTTGATCACGAAATTGGAAATATAATATTGCCTTTGAAATCAATATGCAGTGTAATAAAAAAATAAAGAAGGATATTAGGATCAGTATGCTCGTTCAGTGTGGGCTGATCATGATCATTGATATATGTAAAGCATACAACAGATCAACGGGCAATTTTACCTACTCTCATGTGCATAATTGACCTTAATACTGCTTTAAAGTAGATGACATCCTACTCCTAGAGCGGCATTCTCATTTTCCATTAAGAAAAGAAGCAATCTAATGTTATTTCTTTTTACTAAAAAATATTACTTAATGTTAAAGTTTAGTACTATTTCCTTTTACCGTAAGTAAAATATTTTAAATTCAAAACCCGTAAACAATAGGTTAAAAGAAAAAATCGAGAGAAGGAACATGTTGGAAGACTTTTCTGGTCTCAGGGAAAATGTTAGGTGACACTTGACAGACTCCAGATTATGTGGACGTCACAGGAACTGACCAAACTACCATTCAATTCTTTGGCGTGAATCGCACGTTTCATGGGCAATTTAGGAATCCCATACAGCGTCAATAGCTCCGCCTATCACTAATCAAACTTAGCTTAATTTCCATTAACTATAAAATTAAGAAAAAGTACATTAAAATTGTATTAGTTGGGAGTAAAAGACATTTATGCAGGGCAATATACGACAGCGGAGATCTTATTAGCGTTTCCAACTTCTCATACAATTTTCATAAATCCACAGATTCAGCTAAAGCACAGTTTCTATTTCTTTTCATTATTTTTTTGTTGGGTTTTTCAGAAACAAATTCACAAACCCAACAAGTGAAGAATTGAGAAAAAAACACTAGCTTTATCTGTGTGTGTTCAGTAAATTCGATTCCAAAAATCCCATCTTTTTATTTTCTGCTATCTTGTGGAATGATGGAGCTGCAGAGGTCAGCAGCGCTGAGATTCTTTCTAGGGTTTCTGCTGCTGTCTATGGCGAATGGGAGATTCGTGGTGGAGAAGAACAGCTTCAGGGTCACATCCCCGGATAAAATCAAAGGCACGTACGACAGTGCCATTGGCAACTTCGGGATTCCTCAGTACGGCGGCAGCATGGCCGGCGCCGTGGTGTATCCGAAGGAGAATCAGAAGGGATGCAAGGAGTTTTCTGAATTTGGGATTACATTTAAATCGAGCCCCGGAGCTCTCCCAACTTTCGTTTTGGTCGATCGTGGAGGTACCCTTTTTGTAATTTTTTCGATAGTTTGATTTATTTATTTTTTCTTTTTTGTGAGTTTTGAGGTTCAATTTGATTGCTTTGGTTAACTTAGGAGGTGCCCTTTTTTCATTTTTGAGCAATCTGATAGTTTCTATGAGTTTTGGGGTTCAATTTTGCTTGTTTTGGTTAATTTGGGAGTTACGCTTTTTGTAGTTGTGGCTAATTTGAGAATGCTATTGTGAGTTTTTCGGTTCGAATGGCGTGTTTCGGTTCATTTTGATGTTAACTTTTTGTAATTCTGACTTCTGTTCCGAGTATTTTGTGTGCTATTGAAAAATATACGCTTCAATTGGTCTGTTTTGGTTGGATTTGGAGATGCCATTTTTGCCAATTCTGATCAATTTGCCTTGTTTAGCTCTTCTTTTGTTTAGTCGGTGCAGACAATCGATTCTTAAGTCTGATTAATTTGCTTCATGTTAGCAGATATGTTTAATTGTTGTTGTCTGTATCTGTAAAAGTCTCTTATATTAAATTTATGATCCTACTTCGGTGATTTTTAATATACATGTATTTATCCTCCTGTTTTAACTGTGCATTTCGTGTGTTAAAAGTTAAAAACTGTTGTTCGTGCTTTCCAGATTGCTTCTTTGCCTTGAAGGTTTGGAATGCCCAGAAAGCTGGGGCATCTGCAGTTCTTGTTGCTGATAATATTGAGGAGGCATTGATAACCATGGATTCACCCGAAGAGGATGGTTCAACTTCCAAATACATTGAGAACATAACAATACCATCTGCGCTTATTGAAAAAAGGTTTGGCGAAATTTTAAAGAAAGCAATCAGTGCCGGTGATATGGTCAATGTGAATCTTGACTGGAGAGAAGCTGTTCCACATCCAGATGATCGTGTGGAATATGAACTGTGGACCAACAGCAACGATGAATGTGGGGTTAAATGTGACATGTTGATGGAATTTATGAAGGATTTTAGGGGAGCAGCCCAAATACTTGAAAAAGGCGGTTACACTCAATTCACACCTCATTATATAACTTGGTACTGTCCTCGGGCATTTACTTTAAGCAAACAGTGCAAGTCTCAGTGCATCAATCATGGAAGATATTGTGCTCCTGATCCAGAACAGGACTTCAGCAGTGGTTACGATGGGAAAGATGTGGTTCTTGAAAATTTAAGGCAGCTATGTGTTTTTAGAGTGGTAAATGAGACCAAAAAGCCTTGGGTATGGTGGGACTACGTAACTGATTTTCAAATTAGATGTCCCATGAAGGAGAAAAAGTACAACAAGGAATGTGCTGATGGTGTCATTAAATCTCTTGGTAAATCATTATATATTGCATTTGATGTTTCTAAGAAGATTAACGATTAATGTAGAATGAGTTTCTAATATTCATGTGGTGTTGTCAGGGCTTGATATTAAGAAGATTGAGAATTGTATGGGAGACCCTAATGCGGACTCTGAAAATACTGTTCTGAAAGAAGAGCAAGATGCTCAGGTATTTTTCCTTTCGCATTTATTTTCTTTTTTAAGATTTATTTACTCCATTAACATGTTTCTAGCATGTTTGAGCAATAGTGGTCCTGTAATGCAATTCCTTGAATTGGTGATATTGGTTTAGTTAGTTATGCTTGCTTGACAAGAACACTTTTTGTAGGTTGGGAAAGGAACAAGAGGTGATGTAACCATATTGCCTACCGTTGTTGTCAATAATCGCCAATACCGAGGTTTGTCCTCGTTCTTTTATTTCTCAGATAGCAATCGAGAAGCTTCCATCTCTAAAATATTTGCTTGCAGGCAAGTTGGAGAAAGGTGCAGTTCTGAAGGCCATCTGTTCTGGGTTCGAGGAAACTACTGAGCCAGCTGTTTGTTTGAGTACTGGTAGGCCCTTCTTGTTATTGTGGTGTTTCTTATCTCCTTCTGATTGTTTTCATTCTGAAATAAAGTGCTGGTTTACTATCTATTCATGGCAGATGTGGAGACGAATGAATGCTTGGATAATAATGGTGGTTGCTGGCAGGATAAAGCAGCCAACCTCACAGCCTGCAAGGTATAAATTGTAACCCACTAGCCGATCGTATATCTTTTTGAAAATTGAAAGTAATGGGTATTCTAACTCTTGTTTTTTGCGACTATGGTTTGTTTCCTCAGGATACATTTCGTGGGAGGGTATGTGAGTGCCCTCTGGTTGATGGTGTGCAATTTAAAGGAGATGGTTACACTACCTGTGAAGGTAACAATAAAAGATAACCTAAAACAGCCATAAATTTTAACTAGAGAAGCTAAATTTGAGGGAATTATTCTACACCAAAATATATTTTCTTTTATTTTTTTCATTGTAATAAAAGAGTAGCTCAAATTCGCCTTAAAAAAATAAAAAAATAAAAGGCTCGGCTTCTTCCTTTTTTTTCCATACATATTTTTCCTTGTTCTGCATTATGACTTTTCATTGAGGAATATTACCTTTCATTTCCAGCAAGTGGGCCTGGGAGGTGCAAGGTAAACAATGGAGGTTGTTGGCACGAAGCTCGAGATGGGCATGCATTCACTGCTTGCACAGTAAGTGGTTTTGTGCATTCCCATTTTCTGTAAAAGAAAACTCTGCTCTGGCCTATGGTTTTTATTCTCATATCAAATAATTGAAATTTAAGTAAGGTTATTTTCTGGACAGGATAATGGAGAGGTCCAGTGTCAGTGTCCCCCTGGGTTTAAAGGCGATGGTGTTAAAAGTTGTGAGGGTAAGAAAAATCATTGCCTTGGCACGTCCTGTTATTGGTTGTCAGCTTTACTGTAATACAGAATAAATCTGTGTGGTATGCATCTAAAAGGACGTAGTTCAGACCACTCGAAATAAAGTTTGTGCTTCCTTTGTTGTGTTAATTTTTAAAGTTTCATTGTGATCCAGCGTAAACTTACAAATGGATTAATGTCACAATGGTGCATACACAATGGTGCATCACGACATGCTACAGAAGTTGTTAACCCTGCTATGCTGTATATTGAATTGAAGTGGTCTGCTTGTATATGCCTATTCATGAATAGATCTACTTGAGTACTCTTCTATGGCTTTGTATATAACCTGAGACTATGGCCTTGCACAAATAGGAAGTAATGGGACTCACCAACGAAACTGCAATAATATGTAAAGCCAACGAATTTTTGGTCACTGCAATTTATGCCCCTAGCACTGTATGTTTATTATTCTCCTCCAGATGCTTTGGTGTTTTAAGTTTCGAATGATTGAGGATGGGAAACAATGTAAGTATCTACAAGCTAGGTTTTGTCGCTTCTTATTCAGTTGGTTTGCATCTTACTGGTTAAGTTATACTGGGAGTCTTGGACCCGGTGGAAATCTTATAAAACTGCATGTTATCAATAATTTAGTGAAATTTAGCTTTATCCAAAACATTGTGGTAAGCCAGTGGGTGATCCATGTCAAGCAAATATCCTGCTCCAGATCTGAATGGTCATATTTAATTTGGTTCTATATTTATGTGGTCAACTAGAGATCGGTGTAGGTTTTGTGGCAGGCTGAACTTCCTAACATTGCTATTAATTAAACCAGCCTATATGACATAAAAAGTAGACAATCATCCAGAATCTTTGCAATGACATATCTTGGATCTAATTGTTGCTCACATTATTTTTTCCTTAGATATTGATGAATGCAAAGAGAAGAAAGCCTGTCAGTGCCCCGACTGTAGCTGTAAAAATACCTGGGGGAGCTATGATTGCTCGTGCAGTGGGAATCTTCTGTATATCAGGGACCAGGATACCTGCATAAGTGAGTCCAGAAACTCGAGTGTTTACATTTTCTGAATATGTATACTGTAAGTGCTTATTCTGATGTACTCCCCTTTATAATCTGCAGGTAAGTCTTCTGGTGGGGGAAAGTCGTCTGCATGGGTTGCTGTGTGGGTTATTTTGATAGGCTTGGCGATGGCTGCTGGTGGGGCATATCTAGTGTACAAATACAGATTACGAGTGAGCTTTCTTTGCTTTATTTCTTCATTGCAAACTTCCTACATATCATTGTTAACGCTGGAGTCTCCTATTAATGGTGGTATTATTGGATCATCTTTGGTGGTTGTTGTCCTGAGGTTGATAAAATTGTGTTTATCGATGCTTGATGCATCAGGTGAACTCTGGTTGTGCTGCAATTGCTTTAACTTTTGAATATCTAAAAAATAGAACATGTTTTAACAGAAAAAGAAAAACTAGAAATGTCGATAGAAGTATAGAACTCATGGTGAAGTACAGTGGAACCATCTATTCTTTGTAAGCTATTGGCAGGGAAATGGACTGTCTTGCTTTAGAATTGTCTGTGTTTAGAGAAACCCCATAAATGACCGAGATAATGGAACATATTTTCTTGCGCACACACAAATTTTTGTATATGGGTAGCTTTTAGGGTCAAAATTGACAAAAATTTTCCTACTGTCTTTATTTTGTCTTCTGTGGTTGATTCAATGGACATGAGATTTACAGATAGTATGAGGGTACTAACTGTGCCTATCACACTATTGATTTTGGTGTGTTGACTTCATGGTTAAAGACTGTTGGGCTGTGTCTCGGACTACGAAATCCACTTTGCCTTGCATTCACAAGTCTTTTAATCAACTTTTTAAGATGTGAGGACTGCTATAGTTAAACGATGATTCTATTGGGGGAGTTAATTAAAGTCCGGATACAAATCTTTTCCGCTTTTATTTTTTTTTTTTGTTGATTCAGGTTGCTGATACTTTCAATTATATTTTTGCAGTCATATATGGATTCGGAGATAAGAGCCATAATGGCACAATATATGCCTTTGGACAGCCAAGCCGAAGTTCCAAATCATGTGAACGAGGAGAGGGCGTGAAAATGGGACCCCATTATTGAACGGTTAGGATTTATATGGCACAGCATGGATATGGATTGTTATACGTCTTTCTTTTGCAGTCTTGAATGTTTGATTGAGCCTAATCTTTCATACTCCTCTACGTCGTGTCGGATTGTAAATGAATGCAGATTAGAATGTCTTGTTTCGTAGGACTGTAGCATGCCAATCCCTTGGAGTAAGGTAGATTGCAAGGAGTGTAGGTCTAGTGTCAGAACACTTCTATTCCCAGCGTAAAATCTTGGTATCTTTTCATTTTAGTTAATTTGTTGTTATTCTGTAACTTACTTTTGCCTGTAACTTATACCTTAGTTTAGTTATAATTTATATGCACAAAACAATTTTGTTTTGGTCATCTTTGCTTGCTGTTGTGGTTTTCCAAGGGCTCGTTCGATAACTATTTTGTTTTCAATTTTTAGCCACAGAAATGAAAGGATTAAACAAAAGTTGGTGAGTAGAGAAAACAGGACCGTAAGTGCATAGGAAGGGGAATATCGAAAACAGGTCTCGTTTGGCAGCTCGGACCGTACTGACTATTTCAGTCGGATAGGATAAATAGTCGTTGGATAGGACTGACTAAATTAATCGGGCGTTTGGTGTTGTATCGGATTAATTTATACATCGGATAATAGGTCGGACTATAATAATTATTTGAAATAATTTCACAAAATAAGTGTTGTTAAAATGAAAAAAAAAGGAAGAAAAACAGGTGAGGAAAAAAAAAAAAACATCATTACACAGACAAAAATTAAAAAAAAAAAAAAAAAAAACCCAGATCTCTTCCCACTTCCCAATCATGTCTTCCTATCTTCACCATCTTCCCCACGCATCAATTCCCACCCTCCCATATGAACCCACTTCCTCATTTCTTCAAATCTCCCAAAACCCATATCGATTCACCAACCAAAAAAAAAAATCCCAGAAATTAAATATTTTCAATTCTAATAAACCAAATTTTATCATCGGAGCCTAGCTCCCTTCCTTGTCGGAGCCCAGCTCCCTTCCTCCTCCTCGTCCTTCTCGTTGGAGCCTAGATCGGAAGAATTTGAATCATCATCTTCTTCCTTCAACCCATGGAAGTATTGTTGTCCTGTCAGAGATCGAAGGCGAATGGAGGAGGTGGGAGGTGTGTGTGTGTGAAGGAGGAGGGAGGAACAGAAAGAAAAAAAGAAGACGACAAAGATGAACTTGAGATCTAGACGAGAGAGAGCAGGCAGGTGAGATGGTTGAAGGAGTCATGCAAGAGAGGAACAGAGTGAGCAAGAGAAATCTCACCTGACTAAATAATACAGAGGTTTTGGACGAGATTCGTAAGCGGGTGGGAGGGGTATAAAATAAGTGGGGCCGGATTAAATAATCCGGTGCTTATTTAATACGAAGCTCACCAAACACCCGCTTCGTATTATTAATACTATCCGATGGTCTTATACGGTGTGCCAAACGAGGCCTTAGTGCACAAATAAAAAAAAAAAAAAATTGAAATAGCGTATGAAATACGCCCAAAGACTCCCATGCCTTTTTGGATCAATCAGATTTCCGACAAGTCTTTTTGTTATAGCAAGAAGCGGAACAACAATAGGCGGATCTTAAGCAAAGTATTAAACAAGTGTCATCCATACATTTTAGAAAATGGGTGTTCTCAACTGAAACATTAATTGGAAAATAATACAATTACATTATCATCCTTGGTTTCTTTAGCTGATCCTTGGCCCCCTTGGGCATCATCAATTTTCTTCTTTTCTCCACAAAAATGTGGATATGCGTTACTCAATACAAAACAAAAATGTGGTTTGCAGATATGTAATCCTAGAGTATGCTAGTGTCACCTATAGGGGACTTACTTGTCCCCCACTAACTATAAACGAACTTTTACCATCCGAAAATCATAATCAGAATGTTCGTTCTCTTTATCATCTTCTATAGTCTAGTGGAATACCTAAGACCTCTCACTTATAAGTGAAGAGGAATACCACTAGACCGGATTGTTGATCATTGAATTATTACTTAAGTGTTGATTAATGGGCTTATTTTTTGTTGGTGACATATCACATAGTTTACAAATGTTGTCTAGCATTACTCTTCTTGTATATACGAGGATAGTTTTAGTGTGCCCAATATAATATGGATTATGGATGCATTGAAATTTTTAGTATTCCTCTTGTACAAGAGGTTTTATGCTCAAATCTTGTGAATGGCAAGTTCACTTCTACACCCATTTTGTGTGTGGCTTTTGTTATTGATTGCCACGTGTTAAGTTTATGGACAACTCTATAAGGAGGGTTAAGTTTATGGACATGTGTCAATCAATGATAGAAACTATAGAGAGACCACACAAAAAATAAGTGCAGAAGATTTGGACTCCCCTAAGAGCACTTCTAGCGTGATGCAATCCCTTGGGAATTGGCTGTTGAATGACCCAATGCCCCTAGCGATTGACTCCAACCCATTCAAGTAGCTTGGGCTCCAAGAGGGCTTAGGCTCTCCACCAGGCATAATTCCACAAGCGTAGTGCCTGAGGGATGTGACACAAGGCTAACATCATGGTAACGTCAGCCACTAATAAAAATAATAAAATATTAAAAATACAAAAAATTATTGAAAATTAATTAAAAATACAATAAGTGTTTTATAATAAATTAAAATTATTTTTTTTATTATTTTATAAAATAAAAAATATTAATATTTTAATAGGAATTATGTGACGTATTCAGTTTAGGGGTGAAGGTATACTTGAACAATTTTTGTTTACTAAAGACAGATACTGTTCATTTAAGGGGATTGGTTGCCTATAGCTCAGAGGAGCCTAACAACACTAGAAGTGCTCTAAATGAGGTCCTAGGTAAATTGTAAAGAGGATTTAGAAAAATCCATTTTCAATTACACTCCCTATCTACCTCCTAAAATCGAGGAGTTCCTAAATCTAGAAGTGAGAAAGAAGCTCCTAGTATTAATTACCAATATTTTACTAACTTTATAAATAAACACTATTCTTATTGGTCCACAGTCATTATAACTCAATAAACTAGAGAGTGATTTGAGTAGGATTTTCTAAGGAGCTCCTAAAGTAACATGCAGTATTTTTAGTTAAAATTTAACTAAAAAAAATAGAGAGCATGGTTGTAAATGTCTTATCCAATCCACAGTGTAACTATCACATACACAAAATAATTTGGTTTTGATGGTCTTTGCTTGCTGTTATTGTGGTTTTTTTTTTCAAATGTGTATGTGGATATCAAATTGATATAAAAATAAAATTAATATCTATTTGTACAAGTAATAAATTACAAATTCTCAAGAGCTCCATACACTTTGTTTTTAAGCAAGTGACTTATAACTCAGTTGGTTAAGATCATTAATCCGTATATCTAAGGTTTCACGTTCAAACCTCCCTCACTGTAGTTTAGATGAACTTAGTGTAATTATTCCACCGTTTGGAAAATTATACACTTTATTTGTACATCCTCATTGTGGCAATTTTCTTTCTGTATTGAAATAGGAAAAATGGAACACAGCCTCAGCAGGAAAGGTAACTGGGATGAATGGAATCTTTGTAGATCCTTTGGTCTTGGATATCCTAAGCACCTGAACAGCTTCTTCCGCCTGGCAGCGAAAGAATCTGGTGACACTCCAAGCAGTTCCAAGTTGCCATCTCCAGCAGCATCCCAGAAATTTTCAAAGCAAAGTTAGGCTGCATGTAATATCTTTATGGCTTCTTAATGAAACTCCAAAGATAAACATTTCTTTGTGCTCTGACTTGCTTAAGCTTCAGCCAATGTGGGACGATGATCGAGGATGGCACAACGGTCGAGTGATCATGAATGATTTTGTTGAGTTTACCAGTCATCTTGCAATCATTTTGTAGGTAGTATTGCATCGGAAATAAGGGTATGAACGGAGAAATCAAACTTAAAAGCAAAGAACAAGGGTGGTTACAAAGCTACAGAAAATGCAATGCAGAGTGAGTTGAGAAAAACTTTGAATAGAATGTGAGACCTAAATAGCGTTTAATTTATATAAAATTACGATTGAATACATATAAGATACGCGGTGTATGCATATTGGCAATAACACGTCAATATTTCAACAAATATTTGTCCATGTAGTACACTTTGATAAATGTCAATTTTCGGTTGGGGCCAACCCACAATGTTATTAATTTATATTGACAACTGTTATTACAGGATGATGTATCACGTCAATACATCACAAAATATTTGTCCATTCGACACATTTCGACAACTATCAGATTTGAACAGAGGCCAACGCATAATACTATTAATTTATATTAACAATTGTATTGTGCGTATAGGATTGGATTTAACACGTCAACTTCGAACAAATTATAGATAAACGTCCAAATATATACGTCTTTACTCTTATATGAACTACGTGTCAGGAAAATTACTTGGTTACTTTATAAGTATTTATTTTTTCTTTTCTACTAAAGTATAACTATTTGTAATAATTTATTTGCCAATGTGGTGGATTTGGGTCAACACGTAATGCTATTAATTTATATTGAAAAATGTTATTATAGAATTATATGTATTACGTCAATAATTCATCATGTGACACGTTTTGATAAATGTTAAATATGTAATTCATCAAGTGACATATTTTGACAACTGTCAAATCTGTAATACTATTAACTTATTAACAAATATTCTTATCAGATTGGATCTTACACATCAAACTCGAACAAATTATAGATAAATGTTCAAATATATACGTATTTACTCTTATATGTACTAGGTGTTAAGGTAATTACCTAGTTACTTTATAATTATTTATTTTTTTAGGATCCTTTTCTACTTAAGTAGAATTATTTGTAGAATATAATTTAAGAAAAATTAAAGAAAAGAACTTGAAAACTTTGAGTTTTAACGATAAGGACAAAATAAAGGGTAAAGTGAATAGTACCAGGATTGACTTTTTAGTGTAAAAATGTGATTTTTTGTTAAAATAAACATTACCGGGAGCTTTTCGTTAAAGTTCTCTATAATTTAAGATGGTATATAGAATAAAAAGATGAATACTGTATAGTTTGATCATAGAATTGTTGGAAATTGCCAAACTAGAAATTGTTCTGATGAATTGACTTAATTTATGTTGCATAATAGTTTTTCCGATGAGCCTCAACTCACATGAAATAAAATGGACAAAAGTTTGAGGGGGTCCAAAACATAGCTTAATATGAATTAATTTTCTTTTTACATTCTCATTATGCCAATTTTTCATTTCAATACACTTGATACTAGGGAGGGGTCTCTTAAGTGACTAACCTACAAGCCCCCTTATACTCATCTAAAGTTTACATACATACAATTTCGAGCTAATATAAATACCAAGAAATAA